TCCTAGGGATACAGTGAAATTGAGCCAATCACAAAATAAGTGAATTCACTCTTAGATGCATTATTCAAGGGACATAATGTCCGAAAAACGTTTTTCCCCAGTTCCTTTCATCAACCCCCATCCCCATTTATGTAATCACCGTATATGCTACGACTAGTTGGTTGACAGAATATTAAAAATCCGCCACCATATGTGGTAAATAGTTTTTTAATTGCAATTGGTATCGAACGAAATCTAATCTTACCCCAAACTGACTCGCCAGTAAATTAAAGCTGTATTCTTCAAACGTTGGTAAGTTTTGAATTCATGACAGATAGCAGAGATGACACAAATAGAAAACAGATCTCTAGTACGGCTGCTATACTGATGAAGTCTTGATAATATTGCTGTTAACCATGTCCTATCTGAGAATGCATCAAAGACTCTTCAACAGTAACCGCAATTAATGGAAGCAGTTAGTATTGGACAGGACTTGAAAGTTAGCTGTTGTGTTCACAAAATACTCGCTCAAAATTGACGCTGCATGTTCCTACATCAACAGGCCAGTTAGGCCAGTTACCTAAATCGTGCGAAGAGAAAATAGAAAATCATAAATATTCTTTCACTTGTGGATAACTTGCAATTAATAACTACACATACCCTTCCAACAATAATGAATGAGGAATGTAAAAGGTCTGTAAGATTTCAGTAACCTCGAACGTGAGAGAATCAATCAATGACGACAGTATACAGAATAACACAGAACCGTTAGCCTTAATATAGTGCACACGTTCCAATGAAAGAAATGCGAGGCCGGTTGAGGGGGTTTTGCTGGGCCGATATAAAATCTCTGATCATTCTGCAAAGCAAATGTGCGCAGTAGACCAAATCTCTAACGCAATAACCGGTTCCTTCACTGGTCCTCAAGTTGGAAAAGAAAACCAGTGGGTCAAAAACACATTAGATCGTAAGATAAGCCGGTTCAGTTCGTACATGATTCCCATTTAAACGTATTTTTGACCGAAACTCTTTTAACGGGTGGGAACGAGGTACGAATGCTCCGCGTGTAGTTGCTTTCATGTGTTTACGGAAAAAGCGATTGAATTTGCATTTTAATGGCTAAAAGTTTGTGGCCAATTTCGGTTAATTTAGTGGTAGATGGTTTGGTAAACCGAAGGCTTACCCCGTGCTCCCATCCACTCTCTCTCTGCTGATGGATGAACCATGTGGAAGAATAGTAATAGACCGTCTGACCAACCGGTCAACCAACTAGTCGAACACTTGGCTTACCACGTGGTTTTCCGATTTTCTGTAAACCGCACTATGATCTCGTAAAATTTTTAGCACTTTGAGGTTGGGGCAGAAGAAAATCCGGGGCACTAACCTTCAAAGGGGGGGAGGGACGATGGTAGTGATGGTGATTGGGAGGGGGTTCAGTAGAGGACCAAAATGCATAAACAGGAGTAGGTCGGCCCTCTAATTTGTTTACTCGCTTTCCGAGCGCTATGTATCTGGGGCTTGAGGTAGAAACTACCATGTGCATTTGAAATAAACAGTTTACATTCTGTCTTCGTTTAATGAGGCAAAATACATAAATTCTCGTTGCATTTTTCCTTGACCGAGTTACTGACAAGTTGATTCAGGAAGAGGCCACCTCCCGCCTCTCTTTTCACCTAACTCCCATGGATGTGCATGGGAAAAAGCAGAAGTCTTACCACAGATGAACCTAAATAAAACGGTTAAAATGAGTAGCAAAGTAATAATGCGCAGATTACAAGTAACTTGGAGATTATGATGTTGTTTGGAATGATGACATCGAAAATTCGTGACATAATTGATTGTGAAAAGGTTGTCACTTTCGTTTGACATGTTATTACGGCTTCATGGAACTACAGATTGAATACGTGTGCTGTTCTACGACGCCATTTCAATAGAATGTAGGGTTTCCCATAGGTGTTTTGATTGTGTGTTAGAAAACCTATTCGTTTATGGGTTTCGAATTTCCGAGTATTAGCCCCAAAAGGCGTATGACACAAGTATTGCTTTCTTGCTGGCTGCGAAGCGTTGTGTTTCTAAATGTGTTTCTGTATGCCACTTGATCAGCAGTTGGAAATAAGTTAAATGAAATTTATAACGTTAAAGACTGACTGTAGATTGTATGAGTGTTTTTATGTTCATTGGTAATCCTGTCGTACACGATGGATTAATTCGGTAATTTCCCTACTGATTTTATCACTGATGACCAATAGTTACAGCTGCATTTCGTGGAAATCAAGTATTTTGAAATTGTGGGTAAACAAATTATAAAACGATATTTTTCTTCACATCAGTTGAGAACATTTTCTAGATCTAGACGAGATTTGAAACCGTGTATGGTCGGTGTTAGACATGTTATTCAACTAATAATCTATCGATTGCGCTACACGATTGATTTAAACGAAAAATTGGAAGATGTTCGTTGTTTGTAAAGCGACTTTTTGTCGTGTACAACAAGGTTTTACAGAAACTCGTACTATTCTTTATGTCTCACCTAATTTGAAGATGACGAATTTCATCCAAAATTTAGAGTGCATGCATATTTTCAATTTGCCGAGAATTTTGGTTTATTTTTAATTTCTACTCAGCGTTTAAGTCTTGATAGATTTAACATTACTGTGATCTTAAACAGCTTAATAGTAAACAAAGGGCATTCTGTTTACAACCTAGATTACAGAATATAGAGTCTACACAAACGGCTGTGAGGGCGTGTACAGTTCTTATCATCCGAAAAGTCTACTCCAGAGGCCTTTGTATTTTGTTTCGCTGTAATAGAAACTATCCAGAGTGTAGCGGCACATCCTATTTGTATTCTGTCCGTACTCGATTTGTGCTGCCGTGGAACTGAAGTGAGTATAGTCACAGAAAGAATTTCTAACAGATACAGTTAGATGTCGGATACACTGCTGAATAAAGTCGTCATAATGAATAAAACCGGCTTCATGTTATGCACTTGTGGAAACTTTTGACCAATCACTTTTCACATTAAATCATATCATGAACCAATGAGTTTTAAATTGAGTACCAATGCTATATTTTCAGTGTGCCTTGATAATAAGGTCCCATG